CTCGATGCCCTGACAACCACTGTGCAGCCGACAAGCTTGCTTGCATTCCTTGGGCCGCTGGGTCCGCTGGGTTCTGGATTTTTCCTACTGGCTGGCCAAGAGGGAGTCTGATTCTGACCAGTTAGGCAAAGGAAGAGAAGAAGGATGAAGACGGTGTTTCCACAGAGCTGACGACAATGGCCGCTATCATTGAAATGTGTATGACATTTGCCGACACACAAGGGTACTATTACAGTATGATCTACGACCGAAAGTTGGGGTCAGCCGGCTTGAGGCCCACGAAGACGAAAAGCTGAAAAAGTCATCATCTATATATAAATATATCAATCTATTCATCAAAAGACAATCCTTTCCCATGTCCATTTCGCTGATTGCCGTCATCTTTGTGACTAAGAGATTGCAAATGAGCTGCAGCTTCCGATAGTGATCCTGCAGCACAAGCGTGGTGGACAAACATCCGTTTCCTGTTTTTGAGCGTCTACAGGATGCAAGGCGGCTTGGAGCTTTCTCGCTTAGGTTACCTTTTGTCTTCCACATCGAAACTGGTGCTTCCTTTTACCACATCTTACCCCAGCAGTTGGTCAGACATTCTAGCTAAGGATGGAAAAGCTCTGAATGCCACAAACAAGTGGGTGAGCCACACGCACAAGGGCACCTCCATAAGGACCATCCAGCATCGGCCCTCATGAAACATGAGTTTCATGGGACCAACTCCACGCTCCTTCAGCCACTGTATAATGTGCAGGGTTGTTGTCAGACGCTCCAGATCCACGGCACGCTCGGTCCGGACCATCGATGAGAGCGAATTCGAGCCTAGTTCCAGCAAGTGTCGCTGGAAGCGAAACAAGAAGATCACAGGAAAGAAACATCCTTCATAACACCTGATGTGAAAAAACACTCTCATCTCAGATCGAAACTCTCCAGATCTCTCCAAACTCCTCCCACCACATCGTCCCGAGTGGCTTCAAGCACTGCGCGCCCGCGAGTGCCGCCGTGGCCCGGATGGCCCGGGTCCACACCTCACAGCGCGACCCGGAGAACTCCACGCCTCGAGAGGCGGCTCTTCGGCCGAGGCGGCGAGGGAGATGAGTTTCCAGGTTCTGAGGGTGTTGATATGAAGGTGTTGATATTGATATGTGTCGGCCGGACCCTGACCCCAAAAGGTGCTCGCTTCTTCTAAGGAACGATTCCGGTATCGAGCTCAACTCGCAATAGCATTGTCGGTTGCACAGATGCGGAAGTCGCTCTGCTTGACTTTTACGCTCTATGAGCGGCCGTGATCGGTAGATCAACAGGCATGTCCCCATGGTAATACTCGGTCTGTGAACCTTCGGTCTTAGTGATATTGAAGCACCTCCGTACTTCACCAACCCAAAGTGCAAAGCCAAAGGCAACAGGGAGTTGCATTGGATATCGGCAAGCATCCTGGACGACCAATCTGTTAGCTTCTTTCCAGGGTAGCTGGCTAAGTCACATTGCCTGGCATTTTAATTCATGTTGGCTAAGCATTCTGAAAGCATAGACGTGGACAATGTCAAGGAAATCAATAGGCACAATGAGAGGGATTGCGTAACAAGTTAACAAAATGGTAACGTCACTCTCCTACACGGTTGGGCAAGCCTTTCAATCATGGCCCAACTGGCCCACTTGAATCAGTTGGTTCACATCGGGTTACTCGGAACGAGGGTTCCTACACTACCTGGTCAAACTCATTGCCCGCTCTGCACAGATCCCGGCCGTCCCAACAGCCACCGCGATCGCCTCTGCAAGCTACATTGCTTCGGCACAGCTCTTTGCACTCGCCCAGTGAAGAAACCGAGGTCACCTGGAGTGTGCAGCAAAAGAAGAATTGTTCTTCTTTGCTCTGGGTTTTATCCGTGTTAGAGCCCTTCATGACTTTGCCAGTTTTCGGAATTCTCCTGTTTATGACCAATCAAAGCAAGCCTCGACAAACTTGGATTTCTCACATGCCTCACCTGATAGTAGCTGGCTTGATCGTCATTGGCGGTGTCTCCACGACATGCTCGGTTGCTGCCATCGTCCGCCGGAATGAAATCCGACAGCGCATAGGCGTAGCAAGAATAGCCAGAGAGACCTGATGGAATGCTCCGGGTGCTTCGGCAGCATGTTTGTCCCGAACGGGAGAGTGGAAAACCTGACTATTTTACGATCCAAGAGTCTACTATAACACGAGACTGCTCCGTAGACACCCTCTTCAGACACACCAGCCGGCTAGGCATGGCGGGACAGACCATGGCTCAACCTGAAACGACCTCCTCTCAGCTTCAGGCTCAAAGCACTCAATATCTTGCAGGGTGTATGAAGAATGATACAATCAATATGACAAACAAACTATATAAAGGATTCTTTTAAACCGCCCCTGATGAGGGTCCTTGATGACGTATTTCGTTTCTGGGGGGCTCGTACCAACCCCTAGGTCCACCATATCTTCACTTCACATGACACAGATTCACTCCACAGGATCCTTTAACAAGCCGAACCTTTGAAAGCAACCTGCGCGGTCCTAAGTTTCCCTAGCTTCCCTAAGATCTACGCATCCTCTAAACAAGACCATAACAAAACCATAAGCCCATATTGGCCGATTCACAGTGCCAAAAAAGTGCTGCCATCCGTCTCCCCTGAGATCCAAGCTAATGCTTGCCTCGATGCCCCCAGGGCGCGTCCACACCTGAAAATCATCGAAAGCGGAACATTGCTGCTCAACCCCCCGCCCTGGCGTTCGGCCACTAATTATGCAGTGAAACGAGTGAAAAAGGGGATGTCTTTTCAGAAGACAGCATGGTCCGAAGACAGGATGTGTTGTCTACTTCCTCAAAGCTTTTCTGTCCATGTCCCACTTCTTCAGTGCCTCACAGCGCCCCGAGGTGTGGAACTCCACACCCTGGCAATTGGCCGTCCCCTCGCAGAGCGCTTGGCAGGCGCTGAGACTCGCCAGGCCCTGAGATCGCTAGGGCGCCACAACCACACCCCTTGGGATCCGTGGAGAGCCCTGGATGGGTCTGGCGGTCTCTCCCAACGCTCTGGGCGATGTGAAACGTGCCGATGTGCATCGGACTCCCACGGCTGGGCCGATCAACCGTCGATCAACCGTCGGTCAAACCGGTAGAGGACCGAAGAACAGATTCGCTCCTTCGCTGGGTGTGTGTCAAACGAAAGAGGGAAACAGATGAAACAGAGGTGAGGTCCAAAGATTGAGCCACAAATGTGCCGAAAGTAAGCAAACTCCATAAACTGAAACTGTTTCAAGACTCAAGACCTTGAAACAACAGGCTCTAGGTTTTCGAGCAAGCTCTGCTGTCACCTCAGGTCAAAAGGCTTCTTGACCCTCACTGCGTCCGTGCACCTAGGTAAGTTGTTCCTACACTACGCTTCCGCGGCACTGAACCGAGAATCCCTCCAACAACCAGGAAAAGGGGGGCCCTTTTGAAAGAACTGTCCTATACTGTGGGTGCACATGAAAGTATGGCATGTGCACAAGGCCCCCCACAAACTGAAATCCATCCATCCCCACATAGGCCCATCCTTCCTGGGAGACCCCACCGAATTCACCGTGAAGTAGGAGGCCAGATTGTCTCCAGCAGACTTCCCACGGCAGGCACGGTCCGCTCCACCGTCCACGGCCACCCACTCCCGATCGATGCTCTCCTTGGTTGAAAAACGGCTCCTGATTGTCATGATGTTGGAGTTCATCAGCGAACTCAAGTCTTAAGAAACAAAAGGGCGAGCTGCTTAATATGAACTGCAACCTTCCAATGGTTCCATGTTCTTTCGGAACTCCAACAAGCGTCTTTGGCGACCTTGTCTTTCCAGAGGGAGGGCACAAGTGGAACAAGCTCAGATGTCAAGAACACAGGATCTGGAAAACCAATCCAATATTCCAATGGACTCTAAGACTCTAAGCGATTTGAGACTTGGATACAGTAAATGTATCATTCACGTTCTTCCACCTTGAGGCTATGATGCTCGCTGATTTGAAGCACCCACTATATATACAAATATATATATATATATCAACCTGACATTCTGACCAAATTGTGGGCATGCCAAGCAGTTCTGCAACCCTCAGCCAAGATGCCACTTCAACTGTGAGCCGTTGAACTGATGGAGACTTTTGTAGGAGACCCAAACCTTTTGGAAGCGAGGCGAAACATCAATTTCATGTCTGAAAGATCCAGACTCCAAGGTGGGACATCACTTTGGAAAGCCCGTCAGGGCAGAATTTTGCGTTGCTGTGAGTTCAACACTTTTTACCACAAGTTCAATCACCCTACTGAGTAACCACACGTTACAGCCAAACCACGCAAAGCAACCTTTGCTGGCACGTCTTTCTAAGAACTCAAGCTGTTCAAGACAACAGCTTCTTGCTCTCTACCATGAAGAGCATGCAAGTTAGCCGGCCTCCAGTTGATGCGCAAGAGAAGTTGTCGGAGTACCCCCGAGCAAACAAGGTCAGGAACAACCTTGCTTGTGTGAGGATCCGAAGCGGCATGCGTTTTAAATACTCCTGTAACCCATTGGCTGCTCCCGCTGCAAAAACAGATGTTGCATGTTCAATCATGAGTCATGATAGCAAATCATCCAAGGAAGAATGTAGTTGACGACAATGCCCACGGGTGTAAAATCAGCCATTTTGTAGTCTTGGTGCTACATCACTGAGACACTTGCAGCTAGAGTGCCTCCACATCCTGAAGGAGGTGGAACACCAAGAGACGTTGGAGCAAATTTGGGCTGCGAATGTGGGAGCCAGAAACGCAGCGGGGCTGTCTAGGTCGCCTCACAGTTTCCAAGATTACCTGAAAAACATCAAATGCGACTCAACCTACCAAGCAATGCTTCAAAACAGAATCTTTCCAGCTCTGAGGAATGAAAGGCCCAAACAGCAGGACCCTCAAAGTTCGTGTTCTTTTTGAGTGTGACGACTGGTACTAGTGGAGTCCAACGAAAACGAGCCAACGGCTTTCGTCACCCGCCATGAGGGCCTGCGAATCCAAGGTGGACACCTCTGGAGTCTTTCCAGAGCCGCGTGTCAAGTCCTGCCGGTGCAGGACTCCCTGAGGATGTCCGAAGCCGACGAAAAACCCTCCATGCTAAAAGCAAGTCTTCCACATGCTGAGAGAAAACCACTCCTCCATCTTCTCCTCCAACTGGTCAACCCGCTCCTCGGAAAATCCAATACTCTTTAGAATTTAGAAGAACCATCTTGCTTCGATGAGAATCGACCAGCTTGGCAGAGGTGAGGCTAAACTACTCACGCTGGCACGGAGGAACTGATATCTGGTCTCCTGTTCTGGTTCCGGGGATCTACCGCAAGTATTCCGCGCGAAAAAGACGCGAAGAAATACAGCAAATATATGCAAATGTCATAAGTGGCCTTGAGGGCCGAAGCAGGATCTCGCAAGGCACCATAGTAGTTCCACAGTTGCCCTTGCCTCAGAGACTAAGGCAATGCAAACGAAAGCCCGAGAGCCGCTGGCCGAATGATCAGCGGCCCTAGAAAGCATCACAAAGTGCAGGGGCAGCCAGGAAGAAAGCATGAGGCTGACATACAAAGAACGATGAGGAATGTGCTTGCTTTCTCTACTCCACCCCGCCCCGCCCACCTTCGCTCGCCCCGAACACCTTCTCAGTGCCGCGCAAATCTTCCCGTAGCCGGGCCTGCGCCGCCTGGCGAAGGGGCGACTCGGTGCGCTGGGCGTTTGAGGGATGGTCGTCTTTGAACCCTCTTAACCTCTTGGGCCTATGAAGGTGGCCCCTTTTGTCGTAGATTCAAAGGCAAGAGTCTACCTACCAAACCAACTTGGACAAGATTGCTCACTTTGAATACAAGAAAGGAAAGGTAGGATACCTTATGTCATGTCTCAAGTCGAAACAGCTGAAAAGTGGCAAGGTGAGTGCATTTGCGTACTGTAAGTCAGTCGTGCGTTCATTGCTTACCTGGAACAAAAAGGTTGGCTCTCCTTTTGCACTACCGACCCTGCATGACATAGTCTTCACTTCCTGCTACTCTCAACTTCCTGACACTCTCACATACGTGTACACGCAGCTCCCTGACACAAAAGTCTCCTCCAACTCTGCACGTAGCTCAGCGACACTTCGTGTGTCGAGTTCCCTCGTCATAGCCTCAGCATCAGGTCAGGTCTCCTTCATCGAAGGTATGTCGCACAGAGTTTGTCCGTTCTCCAGATCCCCCTCCCCACTCTGAGATCCCAACCTCGAAGACACTGGAAAACAAGCAGCTTCTAATCGTTCCAACCCTCAAGTGGTCTTGCTGTGTGTAGATGCATTGCTTTAGCCTGGTTTCAATCGACTTTTGGGGAAAACGGATGTTTTAGCGTGCAGTTGTGCTGAAGCCAAGCTGTCAAAAACATCACGCATCACGCATCAGCACCGGGGCGAGTAGGGCCATCTGCGGGCGAGTAAAACCACGAGCAGCGACTTGCAGGCCTATCAAAGGTAGAGACATCTGCGCAGCCATTCCCTGACAGCGAAGACGATCAAAGCAAGGACAATTTTGAGTATCGAACTCCTTCTCAAAAATGTCATCAAGATTCATGATGCACTGAGCATAGAAGCCCATGGACAAAGAGTATTCCGCCACCAGCTGCGAGCCTGGGTAATATCGTAGACATATGCTGTTACCTGGCGAAGTTGGGACTGCTTGACAGATGGAAAACGGTTGACATGAGCAAAACTGGAGACGAGCCTTTGCCATTGCAGCACGCTGAAGAATGTGAAGGTGTTTGAGCAGTGACAAATCAAGTTGTTTAGTTTGCATGATTTCCTAAACCGATGAGGCTACAGTGAAACAACAACGCTGGTTTGTTGTACATGTAGCATGTCTGAGTGCAAAACAAACAGAATGGCTCTGCATTCTGCTTAAGTCCACAAATCAGAGACGAAATATGCGATAATTGCAAGTAAAGTGCATGGAACAATGTAACTACAAGTTCACGACAAAAGCGCGGCTTCAAAATTATCACAAAGTATTCAAAGGGTTATGGACAGTTCAGGAAAAATAAAGCACAAGAAATTGTGGACAAATCAACAAGGAACCAGAACGTGTTTGGGTCCAAACCACAGAACACACCACAAAAGTCCTTGATAGACAAAATCGTTCATGCCATGCCCGTCACCCATCTGAAGGTACGATGTGGCAGACTGATTTCGGGTCGAGTCACTGTCGATACAAAAACGAAGACTGAACACAAAATCCATGGAACAAATTCCGGCCATGGTTAAGCGTTCTTGCGATACATTCGCATTTCTACGCAAAATGTTCTGCGTCAAAGACCTGAACCGGTTGAGCTGAGCAGCTAAGCGAATGATGCAATGATCTGAGGAAATGGACCATTGGCGTTTTTGCTGCAAACGAAATGGATTTATGAGAGAAAGCAGTAAAATGGCACCAAATGAACAAAATAAGATGAAAATGTGTGAGAAAGCTAGCCAACTTTCACGGTTGTTGTGGTCCAAAATCTACTGTTAACGCAAGGTTGGGTCAATGGCGTCACAAATGGAGCCCCTGAACAAGTGGAGCCTCCACTCAGTTTTCACATTGGTTGGAAGTGGAGTCAACAAGAGCACATCTGGAAAATGCACAAAAACAGTGCAGTTCCAAAAAAACAAACACTTAACATGCTACCGTTTGGTGGAATCTGCCTCAGCGCTTCCGCTTGGTCGTTCGGCTTGCGGAGAGAGGCTTGCATGAAAGGTCCAGTGGTCGATTGTTGTGACCTTCAAAAGTGCAAATTTTGCCAAAACATGCGAACAACGCACTAGTTTGCTTGGCTCAGCCCACATGGATTTTGATTTTTTTTTTGCATCTCTCGGTCGAAACTTGCAGTGATAGCACAAACGCACTGTTTCAGCCCGTGTCCCATTTTCAAGTTTGTCAGGGTTGTGGGCTGACAAAGACACAAGTGTCTCACTGGAGTCTCATGTCTTCAAACGTTGGACGAACTGACCCACATGCGCGCCGGTGAAGAAAACAAGTGTGGTTCAAAATTTGTTCCACATCGGTTTTGCACTGCGGATCACCCATGCCAGCTGTCAGACGGCTTGCGTCGCTTTTTGCATTCCTTAAACCAGCCTCGAGCACTGACACACATGCAGACCGCCCAGGACTGTTGCTTTGTGCAGAACCGGCCTACTGGCTCTACGGTCTCTTGTCCTTTTGTGCCAAGGCCTGTGAGTCCAAAATTGAGAAGGCAAACGGGGCCCCGGTGCTGAGAGCAATCATGAGGGAGGCGCCAGACATCGAAGCCACAGGCCGCCTTAGCACTAATGCAGACAGTGGTGATGTCCTTTGGACGGAATCAAAGCCTAGGCAAGCCGGACCTCCCCATCCACCACCTGCATGTCTACTTCCCAGTCTAGTGCACAAACTAGTGGAACGAATTCTTTTTCCACGAGTGCGGACGCCGTGTGGGCGGAGTGCCCAGGTCATCATTGAAAGGGAAGGAAACGCGTCGTGATGAGGGGGAAAAGAACACAAGCAACACAAAAAACAAGCAAAAAACCCCCAACCCCAAACAAAAAACAGAAACCAGAAGCCACAATTCCCCCTCGTCAAAGCGCGTTTCCTCTGTACCAGGGGAGTCAGTTGCTGCTCTGCCTAGCAAGCCATGGAAAAGGCCCATCTCATTGCACAACCCTTTCAACTGATTGCACGACAGAGACGAGAGGCATGTCGATTGTCAGGCAGTGGAGACAGAGACAACGAAAGGGGTTTGCTGACGATGGAGGTGCCGTCCCCCCGAAGGGAGGTCACCTTTGCACCCCTTAGCACTCAAGGAGTGCCATTGTGGTACTCTCTGTTTCAAAAAGAGAGAGCGGCACTGAGTTGCAAAAAGTCTCCTGTTGCGTGCAAGGCCCGGGTGAAACCAGTGAAACATGGACCTATCCTAGCATGGTACTTGTGCCTCTTTGTACAGCAATGGTCATGGCGTGGCCGCTGCAAGGAGAACTAAGGTTCCCCCTGGCAGCCTTCCATTGCCATTTTCTACCACCCGCCTATTAGGAGCGAAAGCTAAGGCTCTCATTCCTACAGGCTCACTGTGACGAAGTTACTGAGGCCGAAAGGATGGCTTAGCCTGAGCTTTCTTGAACCTGGCTCACAAAATTGAGACCGCAGAACAGCAGTCCATTCCCACTGTCATTTGCTTTGCCAGCTTAGCGTGTGGCTGCTTAGAAGTCGTCTCTCCATTGGTCATTGGCATTTGGCGGCAGGAATCGGAGCCATTGGGGCTTGTCCAATTGCTCGCACTTGTCAAAGGCATTGAGCCGGGCATTGTGTACCTCGCCATGTTTTGCTTTTTCCCTGTTTACGAACTGCTCGAAGCTGCGTACAGCCTGCAAAAGCACGCCGAGCAATGTAAAGCAGGGATGGTAGGATGCAGACCTTGCAGCGAGGTGCACTTAAGAAAGGCTTCTTGCTCAATGATGCGCAGTTTCCGGAAAGATTGAGCAGCTGGAGCTGCGAGCAGTGTGCAAAGGTTGAACTCAAAATCTCAATGACATCCGTTTGGCACAAATCCACAATTCGCAGCTGCTGGCAACTCACGCACGCGGCCGTTTCTATCCTGTTAAAATCTGACGGCAGATAAAGTGCGACCAAACCTGCTTTCAGGAAGCAGCAGTCAGGCAGAATCCCGTTTAGATTAGTGGAGCCTTGCCCTTTCTTACCAAGGTCCAGGTGCTGGAGTCGGAGCAGCATCTGAAAGCACCATGCAGCAGGCTGACCACGGTGTCTGGCAGGTGGACCACTTGTGGCTGCCGATGGCTTCTCCACGCCGCTAATCCTCATACCGGGTTCAACTGGGACATGTCGGACTTCCGTGTGAAGGAGACGCTTGCGGTGGGATTTTGTCGTTCTTACCTCGCGGCACTCTGATTGTCTTGGCTTCCCCTTTGATCTGCTCTTTGTGCGCTGCCTCCACCACATAGTAGCAGTGGTATTTTTTCCACGAGTACGGACGCCGTGTGGGCATGGTGCCCAGGTCATCGTTGAAGGGAGGGAAGAACAGTCTGATGGTGGAGAAAAGAACAAAGACCCAACACAACCCAAAACAAACAACCAAAAGCCCACAGGCCGAGTCTTCACCATCATGTAGTCTTTCCTCTGTGCTGGGTGAAACAGGTGAAACGAAAACGAGTGTCTAGAAATGGGCCTGAATTCACGAACGAAAAGCATATCGGCGCAGGTCTGTGCTCAAGCAAAGTCACAAAAAGGCTTCAAAGGGACTTCACTTCACAATTACAAGTGACCAGCGGCCACACCACAGTGCGGCAAAATCATGGTCACGGTGCAGGTCAGGAGTATCGCAATGCTCCAGCGTCGGCTGCATCCCTGTCAAGTGGAGTGGCGTAGCTATGCATCATGCCGTGGAAAAGACCTTTCTTGTGGCACAACCCGTTCAACTGGTTGCACTTACAAGTCCAGTGGCATGTTACCAAGCGGCGATCAATCAGTGGCGGCCATAATCGACGAAAGCCTGCAGGTAATGGTGCGAAAGGGCACCCCCCCCGAAGGGAGGTCAGCCCAGCACACTTTGGCACTCAAAGGTGCCAAATAACAAACAGAGTGGGGGTGTCTTCTAGATCTATGAAGTGCTGCACCATTGCAAAAGGTGATCGGCTGCATGCAAGGCCCGTGTGAAACAGGTGAAACAGGTGAAACTTTGGACAATCCTAGCATGGTATCTGTACCTCTTTGTGCAAAATTGGAAATGTCGGACATCAACAAAGGGAACTAAGGTTCCCCCCCTGGGCATCCTCCATTGCCACTCTCTACCACCCGCCTGTTAGGAACGAGGAGCTAAGGCTCTCACTCCTATTGGCTCACAGCATTGCGAATGGCGAGAAGAGGTCATTTAGTGCTTGCGCATCTTACTTGCCGTACTCCGCTGTCGGTAAGCTTGTCCCCCATTCCAGCCACAGAGAATTGCCGGCTCTGGCAGGTCTGAGCAGTTTTCTTCCCTGTGATCACTGGCATCTGTCGACAGCTCTCAGCATTGCCTGGACTAGACAGGTAATCCAATTTGTTCAGGGACACTGGTCTTTTGCGATGTGCAGTTTATTTTCTTTTGCTTGCCCCTAGCTCCAAAGTGCGGGCATAT